AGGTTTGTTATACAAGGAGAGATTGAAATCCCTCAAATGGTTTTCTCTTGAAAAAAAAGAAGAGTTAGGGAGGATCTGGTTGAGGTGTTTATGATTGTATGGGAATTGATGGTGTGAATGCGTTATCTTTTTCCATATTTAATGGTGAGAACAGTAGGATTAGAGGACATAAATATAAACTTTGGCAAGGTAGGAGTCATCTTCAGCTAAGACAGTTTTATTTTTCTAACAGCTCTCTGGAATGGGTTGCCTTCACAGGTCATGGAGACAGTAAATTTAAGTGGGTTTATGAGAAAGTTTGACAACTATATGAATAATATAGGCTGGGTTTAAGATTTTTTTGTTTTAATAGTTTTAGTTTACAGGATGGGACAGCTGAGATGAATCAATAGGTCCCTTGTTGTCCCTAAACATTAATTTACTTTATTACTTAATCTGCTCTGTACTTTTCTATTATTAGAAAAATTACTTACATTTATAGTTGTTGTTTTTTCTTGTGTTTGAAAACAATTGTATTTTTACTAGTTTTCTTATTTCTCTATCTTTTCTTTCAACATCTTCATTTTATTTATTTCTTTTAGCTTCCTTCACTCTTTAAGTTTTCCATTGTTTGAAGTACAGCTAGATGTTTTATTACCATTTATACATGAAGTTTAATAAAATGGTTTACACATTGTATCAGGATTTACCAAAATTTGATTGACTGAACTTATATTTTGTTCTCCTGATTCTATTAAATATAAGAAAATGATAGTATTTGTGTGTTGTGTGGATATATATATAGTATTTAGCGCATCCTCTTTTGGACAGTGTTTTCTATTTACTGGATTTTTGCTAATAATTAAATATTCTTATTGGTGGATATTATATAGTTGTGTTGACTGTGTTGCTACTGTTTAATTATATTTGCTGTGTTGCTAGTGTTTAGATCTAGCTCTATAATGGGAAGTGTGTGTTGTACTTTCCTGCAAGCAAGTTGGTACTCTCCACAGAATGTTTTCAAACACTCTTTGAAGTATCAGGTACCAGGCACTAGTTAATGAATTGTCCCTATAGACATTTGTCCTTGTGGATAAAAACTATTTGGCTTAATATAAACTATTCTCATATTTGACACCCTGATCTTATCTTCTTGCTTTTCCAATATGTTCTGTTGTGTTTAGGGTTTGGACTTGGCCATCTAATACATTTTTAACACTAATGCACAATAATTACACTATCTAGGAATTGATGACGGCCACGACCTTGACAGGGACATGCTAGTAGGAATCTATGAAAGAATCAAAACAAGCGAATTTAAACCAGGATCTGATCATGTGACCCAAGTCCTAAAGGTCCAACAGACGATAGTAGGTAAAAAGCCAGTAAGTACCAAATTTTAAAATTGTTTGACAAAAGTACGTAAAAATAGGAACTTAATTTCATATCACTGCACATCACTGAAGACTGGTCTGATAATATTAATTGTAATGTGCTACAAATCTGGATATGATTAATGCTTATTTTCTGAACCTTGTACAGTCTCATACACAGAAGATTTGCCACTACTACTACCCATAATGTACTTAATACATATTGTTCTTATTTGCAGAACCTTGCACAACCTCACAGAAGACTAGTCTGCTACTGCCGGCTCTATGAAGTTTATGACATTAACAAAAAAGAAAGAGCAGGAATCCATCAAAGAGAAGTGTTCTTGTTTAATGACACTCTTATGGTAAAGATTAATTCTGATATTTATGTAATAGCAAATCAAGAGATATTTAGTGATATACATCTCTATTAGATGGATGTTTTAATTTTTAATCACAAGCTTTATATTTAACTTGTATAACTGAGTGATATTAGGAAACACATTTGATTCCCATATACTGCTACATTATTTAATGCCTTTCCTAAGTGTAAGCCTAAAAAAATGTAATCCGGAATCTTTAAAACTTTAAGTGTATTTCTAAGTATTTTACTTGTAATTGTAGTACTTTGCCGGAACTAACTTTGGTTTTCTGCTCATTTAAAATTTTTAATGTAACAAACTTTTAACTTTATTGCAGTAACCATCATGAGGCTTACTTATTACAGTTCTAACTTAAATTGATACAATTAACACATATATGAGACGAATCCAGGACAACTAGATACCTAAAAAAAAATGACGAAGTAGGACATTTAGACTTCACTTGTTTATCTATATAAATATAATAGTACTGTCTGTTGTCTGTCCATGTAACTACTTCAACTTGAGTACTTCGCATGGTGTGGATGTATCTTCACTAAAATTGGAGGTTCATTATATATCCATGCGGGGGGTGCATAAAAATTTGCGGTTTCACATTTTGTGCTTTGCAGTTTATATGGGCGATTTTTACAATTACATAAAAGGGTAGCAACTTGTCATATCCTAAGATAACCCTTTCATTAATCATGAATTTACATAACTTCCTTCCAGGGAAAGGGTACTCCAGCTAGTTATAAAATAAAATAATTACAACAGACATGTTCCATGTACAACACTATATAAACGTAAGCATATAAAAATATCAAAATTACACTATAATGTCTAGAAGCCAAAAGATTTTAAAAATTATGAAATTTCGGAGAATAAAAAACTAATTTTTGCTTGTCTAATATATATTATATATCAAAATTATCGCAGTGATTATGCAAACACATAATATGCAATATACAGCTAAATCTTTATTTTAGTAAAACATTGCCCTAATTTACCAATCATCATCAACATTTACTATTTATTATAGCAATGAATATTTTTCATTTTAACTATACGAAATGTATTTGGAAATCTTTTTAAGTGCATAAAATGCCAATTTCATGACATTTTCAATAAACTTAATGAAAAATATTTATAGTACCATATATATATTTTCACAGTAGGTTTATGAACTTTATAGATCTTGTCCTGTTTTTATTAAAATTTAACACACCTCTAAAATTATTAGGTGTCTAAATGCCCTACTTCCTCATTCTCGTTGATGACCTGAATAACAATTGTCATGCCCATTTAACATGAAGTCGCCGTGGTAGCGAAATTTTCCAATATTTAGCTACATGGTAGGCATCTGGAGATTTTAAGTAAAGCCTGCTGACAAACCTAGCGACTTTTATTAGTATTGAAAATTAAATGTAATAAGTAATGTGAAATTTTGAAGTAAATAAACTTGAAAATGCATATACATATACTGAATGAGAAAAGAAAGAATTGTGTTTCCTATTTTTCAGAGGGGAGGAAGCAAGTGCCAACCCTTGCCATCCCCTGCGGACGGCCATTTTTTTATTATTTTTTTTTACAGTAGCAGGTCATTACAGAACTTAAAAACATTATGAGGAAATAGAACAACAGCTGCAATGATTTTGGAAATAAACAAAATAAAAAAACAGAATATAAAGATCCATGTTGTCAGAGAATTTTCTGCAACGCATATATTTTCTTCCACTGCAGAGTCTGAGTATATATATATATGTGTATAGTGAAATGAATTATATATAATATTGAGAGAATGAGTTTATTCTTTTAGTAAGAGAAAGAACTTTGTGTCTATTTTCAAAGGTTACAAAAATCTTCAGCAAGAAGAAAACCAGCATCACATATACGTTTAGACAATCTTTCCCCTTGTGTGGGATGAGTGTTACCCTCTTTGAAGCACCCTGTAAGTTCTATACTAATAAGCCTTTTCTTTCTTTGTTGGTTGTTGTTATTTGAGCACAAAGTTACATAATGGTATATCTGTGCTGTGCCAACCACAGGTATCAAAGTTTGATTTTTAAGGTTATTTACCCTCAAATTCACCACTGAGCCAGCAATGAGAGGAGGGATATTATA